TCTCCATTACTCTTATTTATTCTTGTTCAATCTCTCTTAGTTATAGGATATGGGTATCAATTTTCATATTATTTATATTTATTTAAATCAATTTTTTGTCAGGTGTATGTCACACTATCACACACTTATGATCAAAATGCCTAGTAGAGTGTGGCTTGAGACCCATCACTAGGATTTAAAGCCCTGACCAAGATCAGGCACAAAGCACCGACCAAGTCGGGCACGAAGACAAAGCCCCGACCAAGTCGGGCACGAAGACCGGTCTTAGTCATTCCTCGAGTGGCGACTGTTGCTTACGAATGGCTCACACATCCATTCTACTAAGTATTTTATCATTACATTAACAATTCACATCTCCACTTGTTTCAAGTGACGAACTCCCGATCGGGAACATAAATCCCAAGAATTTTTTTTATGTATGTTAAATGTGTAGGTACAAAGATGACTTTACTCATTTTCACCTCGTCTCCGCTCGCCTCAAAGAGTGCGGACTGGGGGACTGAGGGGTCAGAGTTTCTAGATGAGCAGAGAATATCACGCATGAGCAAAACGAGAGCTGAGTCGGTTGAAGAGGAGTTGAGCTAGATTGATTATGCCGGAGGAGACTTACCTTCCTTGTTTTATGTTGGCGGCGCTAGGTGTACTCTTTTTCCCTATATTAGGATTTTTTCCCAATGGGTTTTTTCCTAGTAAAGGTTTTTAACGAGGCAACTCCCCATCATTGACAAGGGTGGTGGTCCCCCGGCCGAAGAGGAAGAAACCCGAAGACAGAAGAACGTTGCAGATATAGTTTGGACTACTCCCTTTCGACTCGAGTACTCTCGACTCAGGGAGTGGGGGACTCCTGATGGAGTATATGGACTCCGACCCCCCGGTATGCCGACTACTAGGCCTGGACAGCGGCCCACACACGTTTAACAGATTCATATTATTGTACATTATTATTATTAAGATGTTCTAGATTAACTTTTTATACTATCAGTCCTTTTATGTAACCGGGTCTGTCAGGCCCATATTAGAGGCTCAGACCCGGATTTTCCCTATATATACTCCTTATAGGAGGCTTGTAAACCACAACTCAAGAACTCATAGTTCATACACAATACACATTTTCTTCTTCTTCTTCTCCATTACTCTTATTTATTCTTGTTCAATCTCTCTTAGTTATAGGATATGGGTATCGATTATCCAACAGGAACCTCTCGATCAGGAATAACAAAGTCCCCAAAGAAGGATATAACGGAATAAGAAGATTCATGGTGAGACAAGTCAGAGTTCACTGACGTGCACTTTGTCGTGGTGTGCACTCAAAGTAATAATCAATACAACAAATATACGTTGTATATTGAAGTAAGGTTCGTATCCACAGAGAAAGGAATACTTCTCTTCTTAATTAATTAGTAAAAAGGGTTTTTTTTAGATTTGATTGGATTTAATTTAATTAACACGAAGATGAACGACTTATATGAGTTTAATTAATAGAGATGAAGGCTTGGTTTTGCTTTTATCCACTTAATGAAATGTTCGTCGATCCCGGTTATATCTTTAACTATCTTCCTCTCGAATACTCAATCGAGGAGTATATCCATTTCATCGAGGGTAGTTATTAATAACGAGACGCGTTCATTAATAAAACTTACTACCGAGTTAATATAGAACACGCGCCGTATATTAACCTGATAGTAGCAATAAAATCAAGATGAAAACGATTGAGATTGATAAACTCAATACAAGCGGTTTATTGGTTTAATCAACGAATTAATTCCCCTTGGTTTATTAACCATGAAACACATGCATTAATAACTCAAGTTTACTACCGTGAAACGGTCGAACAATTAACAAGCGTATTCGTCGATCGATTCTAGTAATAATTAATATATGAAACAAAACTAGTTGATCCTTTAAGTAATGTTCAAAATATTAATATGAAATATGAATAGGAATTAATTAATACTCAAGGAAGAATATTAAAGAAGATGAATCCTACTATAGTTAATATCAAGATGTTAACTAATTGTCATCTTAGTAACACTCCCCAATATTAACATAGAGGAATAAATAACTATTACTATAACTAATGTCAAGATTTTAACTAATTGTCATCTTAGTAACACTCCCCAACATTGATATAGCAATAGTATTTAAAGGAAGAATTAATATTCAAGGAAGAAGATTAAAGAGAATAACTCACAACTTACAAATTCATTAAGCTTCAAAGTAGCAAAACCAAGATGGAAGAGTTTAGCTCCTCATTTGGAGACTAAACATGATAGAAAATATAAAGAAAACACTTTTCTAAACTGAGCTAAAGAGTATATGTGAATTGATGATTTTATTGTGAAGGAAAGGGGTGTATTTATAGGCTTTTTGGGAGCTGCAGGGTCTGATACCCGATCGGGTATATAGGATACCCAATCGGGTATCTTAGGAAATTGCCCAAAAAGTCACTTTTCTGGGCATACCCGATCGGGTATGTCGGCATACCCGATCGGGTATGTGACAAATCTTCACGAAAATTTGCTCCCAATATCATTTGTTCCCGGATTTGATTTGGACAATCGAATCAAGCGAATACCCGATCGGGTATAGGCAATACCCGATCGGGTACATGAGTATTTTTTCCAAATCGAAATCTTTCTTGTCTCCTTGCACTTTCCTTGATCTTTTAAGGTCCAATCTTGATCCATTGGATGATCTTTGACATGTTTAGCTCTGAATAATCCTAATCTAAACAAATTACAAATAAAAATGAAAATAAAATATTACATCAAAAGTGTGTAATTTCCACAACTACAACTAATAAAAACTAGTTAAAAATACAAACATACAATCGGAAATTACACGAATATCATTCACGCCATTCATGATCTTCAGATGACCCTCGAGAACAACATTCCTAAGGCAAATCTCACCAAGCCAATATTATACGGACCAAAGCTTGAGCAGTATCCATCTTTCTTTATTTTTGACAAGCCGTTCGTGATAGTCTACCTCAATCACGAAGGAAAGAAACGCCTGATGCAGATGGATGAGATTGCCAAGTATTGTGACGGGACACTGAAGATTATTAGAGAGAAATTGCTTCTGCTGAAAACTGATATTGAACGAAGACTTGTCAAAGCCTCTGAAGCTGAACTGAATGAACAGAATAAAGAAGGTGCTAGATGAAATCAATAAGCCACTCGAGATGCCAAGATGACTACGTCAATACGAGCATGCTCTAGCACTGCGGAAAAACTTCTTCAAGAGGCAAAAATGAATAAGAGCTGGAAAAAGGACATCTGATCACAAACGGAGAAAATGTTAGAAATATTTTATGTTGTGATCAATGTTTATTATTAATAGCCTCTTGATGTATTTTATCTAGTACTCCGTATTAAATAGGCTAGAGTAGAATAAAGGTGCAAGGGAATATATGGGCCTCCTTAATTTAAGGACCCAATCATTGTAAACATATCCACTCCGTAGACTATAAATATGCCTTTAAGGGAATGGATTGGATAACTTTTCCACACCTTATATTATTCTCATGCGCCTCTATCATTGTGAGTGTGAGTGAAGAGAGAAAGTTTCTACGCTACATTTCTTCATCCTTGTATAACTTTCTTCTTCAATGAAAGCCTTCTTCCACACCTTTTAGAGCTTTAATTTCATATAAATCTTAGTAGAAAATAGGGAGCCAACAAATATTACTAAAATAAAACTTATTTACACAAATATGACTAATAGTTACTACAATATAGTGTCATGGTAACTTAAGTTTTAAAATCACAACATAAGTTACTATGCTTCTATTATTATTCTAGTCACTAGTCACATTTTGTACACAATCCTTATTTTAGTCATAAATATATATTGTAATTATTAGTCTCTCTTTTGGTTTCCTTCTCTTTGTACTTTCTTTTGCTTATTATTAATAAGTTTTTCTTTCTTTTAAAAAATAGATATGTTATTTAAAATCTCATTTGATAAACCTTATTTCATCTTATCAGTCGATTTTTTTATTATCAAACTTGTAGGTTTTACTTCATCTCTTCAATTATATAATAATGAAAATAAATAACGTTGGGGTTACTTTTCAAACTAAATTGATTGAAATTACTGCAAAAGATAATTTTAATTATCTTTTCATCTATTTTTTTTACTTATTTTTATCAAACAATTACTCCATTCGTCTCGAAAACAACTTCTCATTTTAATTTAGACACATTTTACTAGAAAGTAACGTGGAAAGTTACTTTCCAATGATACACTACTTTTTGTAAGATTAAGTTAAAAATAAATAAATACTCCCTCCGTCCCAGGGAGAAGTTCCCGGGTTGACTTTCACACATATTAAGGAAATAAAGTTACTGAGGGGTAAATTTTACTGTTTGGCACTGTTTTTATGTAGGATAACTTTCCATTTATGGAAATGAGAACTTTTTGTTGGGACTGCCAAAAAAGGAAATTGGGAACTTCTCCCTGGGACGGAGGTAGTATTACATTTAGTTGAGTAGTTTTACATTATGAATTAGGGAAAATAATTAAAATACCCCAAAGTTTGAAGCGGTGTGAGGTAAATACCCCGAATTTTCAATACCCAAACTTAATATAAAAAAAATTCGCACCATTTTCATGTATTATTTTTTTCAGAAATGTAAATTCATGGGGTTAATTGCACAATTTAAAATAGAAAAGTAAAAGTGTTGCAATTATATAGATTGGGTGTAATTTTATATATTTCTCAATGAAAATTTAGAATGCTAAGTGTGCCTTCATAAATTATAAAATATTTTTAACTATGCAATTAACACCATAAATTTACATTTTTTAAAGAAAAATTACTTGACTATGGTGCTAAAATAACTTTTTATACTTCGTATAAAGTATGAGATATTTAAATTACATATGAAACTTTGAGGTGCTCATTTCACACCCCTTCAAATTGAGCACAGTGATATTTATGAAGTCAAATTTTTATCACTTTAAACTAAATTTTAATGCTAAAAGGTACGTAATAATATTTAAACAAAAAAAACCTTAAATAAACCAGGATACTCCGGAAGACCCAATAATGCATGACATGTTTTGAAAGAGGGGTGCATGCAATAGTCGGTTGGAGGTTTATTTGAGGTTCGGGCATTTCAATTGTTCAGATCAGAATATATACATATGGGATGGGGATGGGGTTGTATTCGATGCAAGTTGGTTAATGTTAATGGTCTCCAACGTGATGGCACGTACGCCTGCAGCAGCCACTAACTGTTACGGTGACGCGGAGACGGTTGATCGAGGTGGCGGTGGCGGCGGGCCCCACTGCGGAGACCGGCCTTACTCAGATCGATATTGGCGCGTGGGCCCCCACCCCCGACTTTTGTAACGGGCGGGGCTCCATCGACTTGTCATCTAGTCATCCCATCTCAACTATAAAACAGCCAAACCGCTTCCACCAATTCTCACCCCCACCAATTAGCAGAGTACCCTGTTTTTCTTTCACTTCCCCTGTTTTTTCTAAGCGTCTAAGAATTATTGGCTCTCCCTAAAGCTAATGCATAAAATGAGTCAGCAGAATGTTGTTGTCTCCGGCACTGAGTCCGGCGCACAAACCGCCCCCTCCGCCTCCCACTCCACCGTCTCACCAGCCGGTGAAGCTCCCGGCGGAGACAGGAACCTTAACATTCCTGGAAACCTCGTCCAGAGTAACCTCGAGGGCGCGAAAATGAAGACCTTGGTTGACTCAATGAGAGCTTGCTCCCCCACTCGGAAGGGCAAGGGCTCCGGTCCTTCTGAAGAGCAAGTCTCCTGGAAGGTGAGTGGGCTAATTAATTTGTGCTCCGATCCTTTCGTTTATCTATTTATAAGTGTATGATAATATTGATGATGATAATGGCAGATGGAGCATCCATCAGCTCTGGACATGTTCGAGAAGATCATCAAAGCTTCAAAAGGAAAGAAAATTGTGATGTTCCTGGACTACGACGGCACCCTCTCCCCCATCGTCGACGACCCCGATCGGGCCTTCATGTCCACCGCCGTTAGTATATATATCTCTCATCTTAATAGCCCATATTCATCTACACACGACACATATAAACGCTTTATATATATAAATCTGCCCATACTACCATCAGTGACCAGAGTTAATGTTATCAACGGCTAAAACTGTTAACACAAACACATTCCAAGTATTTGCTATCAAATTTTCTTGCCACAATTAAAGCTCTAGCCTTCTTATGTACCAGAACATATACACGTTCCGATCCTACACATTCCAAGTACTCCCCGGTCCCACTTTTTAATAACACCTTATTTTTCAAATAAATGATGTCTAATTTTGACTGATTATATATTTATATACCGGAGTATTGATAATATGAAAATGATATAAAAATGTTATTTGTTAAAAATAGTAACATAAAAATATAAAATGGATCCGACATGGTACCACTTAATTAGAGTTTTTGACCTTTCAACTTCCTTTACTACCATTACAATTTCATTTAGCCATCTTTGACTTTTACAGTCAAAGATGATAATTTTTGACCAATTATTTTAATTAATATATTGGTGTAGAATTTAATTATTTTATACTTTTATTATAATATTTTTGACAAAAAATTCATACCATTTTCATATTATCAATATTAATGTGTATAAATATATAATCAGTCAAATTTAGACATTATTGACTTAAAAAATCCAATATGACTAAACAAAGAGCTGCGAAGGAAGTATTATGTACTGAATAAAATTTTACAAAAATTACATGAATGTATAACATAAAAAAGAAAATAAGGTCATAGTTGAAATTAAATGTCTGAGAATAAATAGATTTCTAAACACTCTTTCACAACAATTACAAAATTATTGTAAACTTGATATATATGCTCAAAGAATTTAGAAGTATATATATTTCTAATATACAGTTCATATGAAAGTACATGTTGTCCTATGTACAGTTACGTTCAACCTGTTCCAAAAATACAAATTTTCCTCTATTGTTCCAAAATAAATGAGGAAATTTGTTCTTTGTCATATAGCTTACAAAAACATAACTCCCTCTTATCTTTTTAAATATATGTATAGCTCAGCCAATACATATTTGTTCCAATAATACATTTTTCCCTCTATTGTTCCAAAATTAATGTGGAAATTTGTTCTTTGTCATATAGCTTAGAAAAATATAACTCCCTCTCATCTTTATTAATATATATATATATATATATATATATACTCGATCCGTACCATGATAGTATATTTTCAATTTTGTAACTAGGTAACTGCAACTAGGTTAATATTTAGTAACTTGTAAGCTTTAATTTTATACATGGTTATTACAATAGTAGTTGTATTAATCATGATTATATTTAAGTTAACACTATTCACCACAATATATAATCATGTCTTTGTTTATAAATTATAGGTACTATTTCAATAATAGTTAAACTAAAATATCACAAAGGCCCGGAAAGTCAAAGGAGAAACTTAACTTTATGATGGAATGACTCTAACCATAGTAACCAAATTAAAAAAAAATGGTACAAGTTTAATACAGAGCACCATTCATACATTCATGTCTGAGCAAATAAAAGACGCATGAAGCTTATTAGGTCCCCAAATGAAGCCGTCTCTACTTATGTAATTGTAAACATATTCTGGTTCATAGAATATGAGTCTATATGTGATGTATTTAAATATCCAGTCTTAAAGCATGATCCGTATTCCCTACGTTCTCCATCCAAAAGGTAGAATAATCCCATCCGAATAGTAAATGACTCGTTATTCCTTAAAGGATGTATGAGTATTGTTCTTTGAATAATTAGTCCTAAAATTAAATATACTTTTCATCTTTGTCCTGTCTTCGGAAGCATAAGGTCTTACGGAGTATTACAATAGGTCCATTTTCGATTCGAGTTTATTTCCTAGTCTTTTTTATAATACTCAAATTTGTTTAATCGGTTAAATCTGCTGAAATTGAGTAGATTTTATTTGAAATGGTTGAATTGGCCGAAGCGGGTGAATTATGAAAAATATTAAAATGCATTTTATTTATAGTAAGTAAATAAAGAAAAAAATATAATCCATATGAAAATACATAGAAAAGACATATTTAACAATAATTCACCTAATTTAGCAAAAAAAAAAAATCAATCTTACTTATTTAGATAATGACATAATTTCATTCGCAAATCAAAAGTTATGTATTTGATAAAAAAAATTGATTAATGAGCTGAAAATAAGGTTATCAAATGGTCTCTTAGTTATAAAAAGAATATTACCGAAAATAGGATGCGAACAAGATGTGCGATAAATAGGAACCAAAACTAGAATAATAGGACATATAAAGTAAAATACGACTAGAACTCTGTTAATATGTTGAAGAATATTAATTATATATACTACAAACACTCTCGATCAGAATCTACCTATTAATTATACTACAAACACTCTCGATCAGAATATTAATTATACTACAAATGTTCTAAGAAGTGTTGATTACACGTGTATAGGTGTAGATTAATAAATTTAAAACGAGTAAAGGATATTTTCTTATATTTGAAAGTGACGTTTACTTAAGAACACCCTTTACGTGAATATTGGTAACATAAAATTTTACTTTAAAAAAAGAAGTAATAGCTTCGTTTGTTTTAAAAAAAAAAAAAAAGCTTTTCAAAACCACTACTGTCTTCCAAGCCTAATACTATCGTACTTCGTAATTTTTTGGTTCGGTCTTAGCTAGGACAGACCCCAATTAGTCCTACCCTAGGTGACATTAACACTAGGCCTAACCTACCGGCAATGGTTTTTCCTAAGCCTTTTTCATATCAGTAATTATAACCAGTGGAGGAATACATAATGAAAACTTTGGTTTTTCTTCAAAAAAACGTTGGTCTTATAAAGTACGGAGTAATGGTGGTAATGTAAAGTGTAGAAATGGTCCCAAAAAGGAAAGGGCATGATTGTAAATAGCCTTTTTATTACATTATTTTAGTAGAGTATGAAAGAAACTTGGGAAAGTTTGACAAAGATTTCCACTAAAACTAATAAATTCAATGTTCTTCTGGTTGATATCAGATGAGGGCAACAGTGAGGAAACTAGCCAGATATTTCCCAACTGCCATAGTGAGTGGAAGGTGCAGAGACAAGGTACTAGTGTGTTTTCTTTTCTGCTATAATCAATCCCACTTTTGGTTCTTTCTGGAACCGCTAGTAACTTATAATTTCAGGCAATGGTAAATTATTAATTAAAGCCTAACATATTGATCGATTAATATGTTTATTTGATGAACGTTTAGGTCTATAACTTCGTACGATTAGCGGAGTTGTACTACGCCGGGAGTCATGGGATGGACATAAAAGGGCCTTCCAAAGGTTCCAATTTCACGAAAGTAAGTAGAAGTTTCGTTACTTTAATATGCTCGCTTGTACATGTTCTAAAATGGAGTTCTAAAATGGAAACATTAAAGTTACTAGATGTATATATTTCATGGTCTCATTGTTGATCTCTCAAACAGGAGATCATAAGTTTGATAATCATCTACTATGTATATAAAAAATGTTGATATTATTTTAAATTGATGATAAGTGGAGTAATAAATTTTTAAAAAAATGCAATAAAAATGTTGTATTGTAACTTCTTTTGGTAATTTGTGACTCACACACTTTGATATATATATATATATAGGGAGCTCATCAGGGCGTTCTTTTCCAACCGGCTAGTGAATTTCTACCGATGATTGACGAGGTTAGTGTTGTCATTTCCTGTACGTAGTAGTGATCATCATTTCAGCTAATTAAAATCAACTCTAATAATATCATTTTTTTGGTGATGTTTGATATTTATTTTAGGTGTATAAGGCTCTCTTGGAAAAAATAAGATCAGTTCCGGGTGCTACCGTGGAGAACAACAAATTTTGCGTCTCTGTGCATTTCCGCTGCGTGGAAGAAAAGGTAACGAAATGTTGTGATCGAATATTCATGAACTTATACTTGAGGCTTCGTTTGGTTTTGATGAATGTAACCAATAATGTTGTGTCCTACAAAACTTTTGCAAGTTGTAAAACCGAAATAATGATATATATATATGACTTGAAAAAATATGGAGTACAAAAATGTGATAGAAAGTAACAAGCTAAATGAGTAACCTATAGTGATTAAGTTATTTTCACTGTTATAATTTAGTGATGATGAAACTATGCACACATTAATCTTAGTCGATCATGTATTTATCTATAAATTTAATTTACACTTGTTGAACAATTCTCAAAATCATTTTGTGTTAAACATTAAAGAAAAGAGAGAAAACCTACAAAATTCTTGTTTGACCATAATTATACATACATACACCTACACGTTAGCTAGGTTCTCGTACCGTCGTCGGCCTGGAAGGCTGAAACCTGGTCGGGCGGTGATAATAGAATGATCTAGAGAAGGACTTATTATTAAATGCAGGCTGGGCAGAGCATTACAAGTACAATAAGGAAAATACGAACTAATGCCCCTCCACCCTGTTTGGAAAAGCGACATGCCTCGAGAATCTCATCTCATATTCTTATATTGTTAAAAAATAATAAACGCATTTACAACAATTTTTATAGCCGAGTGAATGAACTTTATTTGGTGCAACAAAATTGTGTCCCAAATTTGAAAAACGAATGTGTGATGGTGCTTTTTGTTATGATTGCAATGGAAAGTTGTAAAACAAGTTGGGTAAAGAAATTGATTTGATTTATGATACAGAAATGGGGCGAGTTAGCAAAACAGGTTGGATCGGTTCTTCAACAATACCCAAAGCTTCGGTTATCCCAAGGAAGAAAGGTGCTCGAGATCCGACCAATCATCAAATGGGACAAAGGCAGAGCTCTCGAGTTCTTGCTTGAATCTCTTGGTGCGCCCTTTAATTTATTAATTAATACTATCATATTGCTAACCCAACTTTTGCTTTTATATATCATCATGATTGTGATCAAAATGACTATATTTTTATATTAATTAAACTTATGTATGTTGGTTAAAATAGGATATGCCAACTCCACTGACGCCTTCCCTATTTATATTGGGGATGATAGAACCGACGAAGACGCCTTCAAGGTATTGTCCAATATAATTATCACCCTTAGTTTCTCTTCATGAAGTGAATAATAATAGTAATAATCACATAACTAACATAGCAATTAATGATTTGGTAATTAGGTGTTAAGAGAAAGAGGACAGGGTTTTGGAATTCTTGTTTCTAAAACCCCAAAAGACACCCATGCGTCTTACTCCTTGCAAGAACCGTCCGAGGTAATTAAAAGTTAAAACAACCTTAGCTTTGAAAATATCCCTTTTCATTTCCATCAGTATATGAAAACTATTTATACTATGTATTTGTAACTAAACTAATCCTGCTTTTCTTTTCTCTCCATGGAGGTTATGGCATTTTTGCGTCGTTTGGTGGAGTTGAGGAAGATGGGATTAAGAAGGCAGTGTAGGTTGAGAAGAGAAACTGGGCAGGGGGAGCACTCTGCACAGAAGTGATGGGTTATAATCAAGCTCTATTTCATGTAGAAATATATATTGATGAACATAAGATGAATATAGTACCTATGTATATGTAGGTTTGTGTGTGAAAGTATTTCCTTTGTTTAATATTTAACTAGAATAACAAAGTGTGGAATTAGGGGAGGGAAAAAGAACTACCGTTGTTTTCCATTGTTCTTTTTTCCCCTTGGCTTAACTTGATATGCCTTGTACATCCTCGCGGTAACCTGCTCTGCATAAGGGGGCAATTTGTAATTCTACATCTTCTATATATGCATATTTACTCCTCTCATTGTCATGTTAAGATTGTTTGATATTTTCTTTTCCTTCTGTTTGATTAATATTGTGTCATATCAAATTTGGTAAAGCTTAGTCGTTTCATATCATTCTTACTTTGTCAATTCAATTTCAATCATCTAAATTTACTTCTGAATAATCGTACCACATTTTCAAGTCCCGGTGTTAGTCATGAAACGAAGGTAGTAATATATACTCCGTAGTTGTATAACCTGCTTTATAGTAGTAAAATACACATTTTCAAACTTTATTTAATCAAATCAATTTAGATCAAGCCATATACGCTCAAAAAATTTAGGGAGTGTTTGCAACTGCTTCTACTTAAAAAAGCACTTTTGGAGATGTAAGGAAAAAGTAATTAGTAGTAAAAGTTAATAGTGTTTGAGAAAAAAGTGATTTTGAAAAGTTAAGATTGGTAGTGTTTGGTAAAATAAGTGTTTTTTGTGTAATAGACACTAGTACAAAAAAGGCTTTTTACATCGGTCAAAACAGGCTTTTCACATCGGTCAAACAACTGATGTGGTTCCAGCCCATGTGAAAAGTAGAGACTTTTCACATTGGTCAACGAACCGATGTGAAAAATCTTTCTACATTGGTCGTGCAGTGCCCGATCTAGAAGATTGTCCAAAACAGCGTTTTAAATGGTATTCCACATCGGTTATAACCGATGTGAAAGAATTTACATCGGGTTTAAAACAACCCATGTAGAAAAGCTTCAATTTTTCCCAGAACATAGATTTTTCACATCAGTTATAACCCATGTAAAAAAGCTTTCACATCGGTTATTTTATCAACCGATGTGAAAAGCTTCAATTTTTCTGGAACATATGTTTTTCACATCGGTTATAACCCATGTAGAAAAACAATCACATCGGTTATTTGTCAACTGATGTGAAAAGCCTCGATTTTTTGGTATTTTTCCGGAAAAAAATCGCAATATGACCCCCATTTATACTATAATCACACCATTAACAGTATCATCAACTACTATAGCACAAATTTTTCACCTGTTCACTCGATCAATCTAAAATAATAATAACACAAGCTATTTTTCAATTCTTCCACAAATGTTAAACAAGTTTAAGTAACAATTTAGTACATAATAATACGCTAAAATAAAACAATCCTTGCACAAGTCTAGAGTAATAACAAATTGTATAAAGTTACAAGTCTCATAATCACTCAAAAACTTAAACAAACATGTTCATCATGTGTCGTTGATGGATTATATCCATCCTTGGTCTTAGGAATCCCTGGTACAACCTGCAAGACAGATCATTTATAATGTAATTTCAAAGAAGATAAGATTGATAATATTATCTTTTTGAAACAAATAAACAAGTTCCTATCTCAACCAAATAGATCCCAAAGAAGTGATCTCAAGCTTATAAATGAAATTCAAACTGGGAACTTATAAGTGAGTACTCAAACCTCACACTTATACACCATATTCAAGTTCAATAGGGTGACATGAACAAAACACAATCGAAGAAAAAAATTCATCACAATAATCAATCATTTTCTGGGAGTTAAATCACCTCCCCTCCTTTCCTATTAAACATTAACAATCATAAATCATTTGTTATCAATATGCTCCAAGATGAATGAAATATGAATGCATTTCAAACTACTGCTTGCAAAGGTTGGAGGCATACTTTATCAAAATATTCAAAGACATCTATACTTAGTTGGGGAAGTTCCACACTAGTCTCACGGTGTTAAAGTGTTAAAGTACTATAGCTCTCATAATCCCATCTAATTAATGTGTTAACGATATACCAATATGAAAACTGCAGAGTGAACAACTCTTCACCACAACTTCAAACTATCATTAAGCCACTATCAAGAGAGCCGGAAGCTGCACAAAAGGTAAGAAACGCACCGGCTGTAAAGAAAATTAACAAAAACAAAAGTCTACATGAAAGAAAGTCATGAAAAAAGCAGCGATTATCTTCATATTTAAAAAAGATAAATGCAATTGGGGCATTGACAAATGAGAAGGACTCAACTTGGTGTGTCGGGTCATTGCACCTTTCCGGCCTTAAAGAAAGAGTAATAACTGACCTTAGGTTGAGTCGGTGGGAAGATGACCGCAGGAGGAGGTGGCTTAGAAGTAAACTTATCCTGTAAAATCACACATAAAACAAAGAAAAGTTCATGTAACAAGAATTAATTTCACATATGAATTAATGGGAGGGATATGAAAGTATTCATAAAGTGAAGAATTTAGAGTAGGATCAATTCTCTAGAGCCTCTAACTTCTTCAGAACTAATCTATAATTTATTAATTTTCTTCAAACTAATTTATGAATCCTAGAGAAATGCTTCTGAGACTATCCAAATATACTAAAATTATATCCTGCTTCTATGTGCTATTTGAAGTGGTTCTAAACACCTCTAAATTGAGACAAATCCCAAGAGTAATCTTCATTTGTGGTGGGCATTTGTCAATCGTAGCAAAAATATATTTTTGATTTAAAATGGCATAGTACTTTACAACAGTTGACCAGATTGAAGTTTCACATTTTCAATCATCCATTCATCTATATGAAACATGAATATTTAATGTCAATTAACCGACTACAAATAGCTTATCTCTACTACAACATTTGGGACACTTAAATCTGATCGACACCATAAGCATTAAAATTTTCTTATAGAAAATGGAATAGATAAATTGTGTCTACATATAAATATAAATCACAAACCAATGGAATAAAAGGCTTCCTTCTCGTTTCTAGGTCATTATTAAAAAAATAGAGATAAATACTCTTAAGAAATAAAAGAGGTGCATAGTTGAATATACGTACCATTAAGAAATAGATGAGGAGTTGCAGTGGAGACGGTCAGCCGGTGGTGGTGGTGGTGGTGGCTGTTACAGAATCTCCACCACATCCTGTTCCAGTAGGATCTCACCCCTCACCCGTCTGTGTGGTGAAATCCTTTTGAACCGTGTGAAACAGACAACCATTATAATACTTGGTCCTACAATTGGAGAAAAAGATTAAATGTTAAACAAAATATACTGGTTAGGTACGGAGTATATTAGCTATTATTTTTAGCAAAGATGGGCCTTTTCACAAAGAAATGGCTTTCATGTTTCTCGTGTGGACAGAAATCAAACGAAATTGATTTTTAAACTTAATACATTCAACAAATGAACAACAAACTCGGGTAGTCATTTGTTGATTTATTCACTTTTGAATATCAAAAACCAAATTCGCAATACTGGTGTGAATTTGAGCTAAAAAAACACGACCTCAACCTCAGAATTCACTTAGGAATTCAACCATGTTCACATTTTTTATGCAGTTAAATTATAATACTGAAATCGATGTTTATGCAGTTTTACTTTGTTCATGAGTATGTCATACTAAAATGTGTGATTTTGTGTGTTAGTTGTCTGTATTTAGTGTCACAACAAATGCTAATGTTTTTATTTAGTATACAATTACAGAATAACGTAATGGCCAGGAGTCAAATTCAGAAATGGTTAACAATTACACTACAACCTACTGAAATTGAATCTAAAATCATGTAAATTGATGTACTTCTAACCATTTCAAGGATTAAAGACTTGTTTTTTCTGATTGCACCAAGCCACACAGTAAGCAGCCATATATTACACAAATACACCATCAATAAACTTACCGGAATACTCAAACTGCTGGCTGGAAATCCTTGGCGACGTCGGACTTTCACTCGGCGCTGCAGCCGCTGCGGCTCACTTGCACAGTCGCGGCAGATCATGCGTCCAGCTCTGGTTGCCGATTCCGTCTGTGGTTGTCGGGTCTGGCGGTAGTCTCTAGGTGCGACTGCACTCGCCGAGTCCGTCTGTGTCGCTGGTCGTAGGCGTCTCTCATCGCTGCTCTGCTGAACACATTACCTAGATCTGAAACCTTCCGTTCCTAAGCAATGAAACGCGCTTCACAAGGTTCGAAGCGATCTGTTATACAGAGTATTTTTTTCGCTGCCTTTAGACATCGGTTTTAACCGATTTTAAAAAAAAACTTTCATTATTTAAAAATTTTACCCCGAATTTTCTTTGACATCGGATGTACATAGGACCAATGTAAAATATTTGATAAAATTTTAAATTATACCCCGTTTCAATATTTGACATCGGGTTTAACGACCACCCATGTGAAAAAGTTTTTGAAAATTGTAAAAATGACCCCGTGTCAATATTTCACATTGATTGTATGATGACACATGTAAAAAAGGTGATGTAAAAAGCCTTTTTTGTACTAGTGAGAAAGGTGAAAAACACTTTTCATACGCAAGTCGAGAAAAAGTAAAAATTGGTAGTGTTTGGTAAATAAGTGTTTTTTTAAGCCAAAATATGAGAAGCGCTTTTTTTAAGCTGTTGCAAACGCTCCCTTAGAGTAGACTAGATGAGTCATATTTTCCTCAAGACATTAGTCATTACGAAGTATATTAATTAGAGTGTGATTTTACTGTTCTAAAGTTTTAGTACGTATAACATTTACGCAGTGGCGGACCCAGAAAGTCGGAGCCATGGGGTCCCTACCCTTTTATATCTCTAATCTCTAATTAATATAAAACTAATTTTAAAAAATTAAAGAAACATAACACTTCATAGATAACATACACCATCAAAACTTTAAGATATTATAAAGCAAAAAATTACAAATAAAAATCATTCAACAATTCTACAGATGTACCCTTCTAGACTTCATTTGTTGGAAATACTACGTATTCTATAATAGAATCATCACTAATAGTACCAAAAACATCTTTTTCAACATATGTAGCCACGTAGGTCTAAAGGTTTGGGGGTATCGATCGAGTACTCTGCCTCTGCGTTTAAGGATTGGTAGCGATTAAAAAAAGGCCAAAACAACGTAGTTTTGGTCTATTTAATTAAAATAGTTTTGGAAAACAAAAAAAAAGCCTAGAGGGAGTCGAACATGGTACATCCCACTCAATAGAAATCTTAAATCCAACACATCCCCATTCCCCTCCTCCATTCTTTTGGTACTTAAATCTTCTTTTGTCTAAATATACATTTAGTAATTTATTTTATATAATATATATAATATAT